CTCCCTCTCCCTCTCCCTCTCTCTCTCTCTCTCTCTCTCTCTCTCTCTCTCTCTCTCGCTCGCTCGCTCTGAGGCTCAGGCTGGCCTCAGACTCATACCAATGCTCCTGCCACAGCTTCCTGAGGTTCTGTTGGAGCAAAGCTGGTTTATAGGCTGTCCTCTCACTACTTGCTCTCCCGTGCTGGAGGAATGATCTAAACACTCTGCATCTACCATCTTCCTCCACCCTTTCCAATCCCTTGGTCTAGCTGCCTTCAGTCATGACCTGAGTGCCGGCATGGGCTATGCTGGGCATACTTTGCCCTGTACAGCTTTGGGCACTGGGGCCCTGGATACCTACCAGACCCTCTGCCTCTCTGTGCATAGCAAATCTTTCCTCCATTATTTTTTATTTAGACAATTGTGAAGTCCACATAGAAGAGAGTATGGAAAGGTGTATAGAATAGTTCATGGTGAAGAAAAGGAACCCTGAGGGGCTCCCACCTCTGGCCTTTTCACCCTGCAACCTTCTTGTAATGTCCCCTGTCCTCCCCACCATGAGTGAAGGCCACGAGGGCCACGACTGTAAGCCTTGCACAGGTGTGTATGCAGCTGTGGCCCTTACGTCTGAGGCCCTGACAGGTGCTGTATTCACCTTAGCCAGGTGATTGTCCCAGTGCCTGCCATCTGCCCCAAAGTGAGCTCTAGGCTGCTCTTTCATCTCTTCCTCCAGCCTGTCAGAGCTCTGCTACTGGTTTGTTTAACAGATGAGGAAGCTGAGCCTTCCCAGGCCACTGAGCAAGTGAAGCATAGAGTCAAGCTTTGCAGTTAAGTTGGTGGGGTCCATCCTGTGACCTTAGTTGGCTCTCCTTGGCCTCCTAGGAATAGGAGGGAGAACAGAAGTGAGGTGGCCTAAGGCCAGGCCATTGTGAGCAGGCCTCTGCTGCCTCTGCCCCAGTCAGTCTTGGGCTTTGTTGTTTTACAACTAGAAAAGGCCCCTAAGCCCCATGACAGGTGCACTCATGTAGTCCTGTCTAGGCTCCCCAGGCAGATCTTTGAAGATGCTGGCCCTGTGGGAAATGCCCAGGCTCTGTAGCATCAGGGCCACTCTGTAACTATGCAGCCTTTGGCCGAGCCTTTCGTCTCTAGGTGGGCTGTTTCCATTTATAAGTGGGTGTGTCCTTTGTCAGCCATCCTCCATGCTAGGCAAGCCTGTGCTACTGAGCCACATCCCCTGCCCCTGCAAGAGTTTGCTTCAACTGCTTGTAGAGTTTTTCTGTGCTAGGGGCCGGCTGATGGTAGGTAGCACAGGTGTGTGTGCAGCTCCTCCCATCTCACCTCTTAAAACCACACCTTCTGGGTACCTCCAAAGAGCATCATGTAATGGGGCTGTGCCTGGCTCCCAGAAGGCCACAGGTGTTGAGTAACGAGCCAAACAGATATGTCTCTGTGCCCTGGTGTGGAATCTGCCCCAGACACACCCTGGTTCTCGGAAGGTGCAGGCAAAAGACACCACCTTGCCTCCTCTCTGGGGTAAGGCCCCAGCTGCTGGCACATTCTTTTTTTTTAGATTTATTTTATTTAATATGTATACAGTGTTCTGTCTACATATATCCCTGCAGGTCAGAAGAGGGCACCAGATCTCATTACAGGTGGTTGTAAGTCACCATGTGGTTGCTGGGAATTGAACTCAGGACCTCTGGAAGAGCAGCCAGTGCTCTTAACCTCTGAGCCATCTCTCCAGCCCTGTGCTGGCACATTCTTATCCACAGCCCAGTCTGCCTGTGAATTATCCTGCTGGGTCTCAGAGCCTCTCCCCCAACCAGAACCGGCTATATTTCTCACAGAGTCCCAAAGGCTTCCTGGAGAGCTATGAGGAGATGCTGAGCTACGCCCTGCGGCCTGAGACCTGGGCCACTACCCGGCTGGAGCTGGAGGGCCGAGGGGTGAGTTGGCTCATGTTGAGCTCCTAGCATCCTTCAGAACTTTTGTTGGGGGCTTGTGCAAGCTCTGCACTGATGCTAAGCAGCTGAGAAGGCTCTCACTGCACAGAGCCTGGGTCCAGTCATTTCCTTACGTGTCATGCACGGGCCCCCTCTGGCCTCAGCTGTCTGCATAGCCACTCTAGATTCAGCAGCCCCTCTTCCAGGTGGCGTGCATGAGCTTCTTTGACATCGTGCTGGACTTCATCCTCATGGATGCCTTCGAGGACTTGGAGAACCCTCCGTCTTCGGTGCTTGCTGTCCTGCGGAACCGCTGGCTGTCTGACAGCTTCAAGGAAACGGTGTGTCACCGTCTGTCTCTCTCCCATACATCATGTCACATTACTTGGGCAGTAGTCTTCTTGTCCCTGGAGTTCATTTGTCAATCCTTCGACTCCCTAGCCAGTCCCTGCTCACAGAGATCTGGGGTGACAGATCTAGGGTTCTCTCCAGGCATTCCAGAGTTCCCTGATGCCCTGGTTCCGGCAGAGTGCATATTGTCCTTGTATTGTAACTCACATGGTGCAGAACCCTCACTCTGGGCTGACACTAATTAAGTTTGTTTTAATGCATCACATTAGTTTAAAATAGAGGAAAACTTCCCACCTAACATTACTACCCCCAAAACAAACAAACAAAAACAAACAAGTCGCCAGGCATTAGTGGTGCATGTCTTTAATTCCAGCACTCGGAGGGTAGAGGCAGGAGGATCTCTGTGAGTTCGAGACCAGCCTGGTCTACAGAGTGAGTTCCAGAACAGGCTCCAAAACAATACAGAGAAACCCTATCTCAAACAAAACAAAACAAAAAAACAAGTCAGGCAATGGTGGCACTCACCTTTAATCCCAGCACTAGGGAGGCAGAGGCAGGCGGGATCTTTGTGAGTTCATGCCAGCCTGATCTACAGAGTGAGTGCCAGGACAGCCAGGGCTACATGGTGAGACCCTGGCTTGAAAAACCAAAATCAGGGGGGCTGGAGATATGGCTCAGTGGTTAAGAGCACTGGCTGTTCTTCCAAAGGTCCTGAGTTTAATTCCCAGCTATCACATGGTGGCTCACAACTATCTAATGAGATCAGGTGCCCTCTTCTGGCATACATACAAACATAATAAATAAGTCTTTAAAAAACAAAACAAACAAAAACCCCAACGTCACCAGTGATACTCTAGTAACATTGTGGTGCCGCTGCCCATAGCTGATCTCCAAGTAGGCCATTTTTAGATGCTCATCATGGCTCCCCACAACCGCCAGGTGAGGTAGGGTGCTGTGTCATGGCCATTTACAGAGGAGGAAACCGAGGCTTGGGAAGCCTCAGCATCTGATTGGAGTTCTGAATCAGTAAGGGTTAGAGCATAGGTATGTATGGAGCTAAAGAGATGATGACTCTGTGGGTAAGAGTGCTTACTGTTCTTGAAAGGTACCAGGGTTGTTTCCTAATGCTTACATGGTATCACAACCACTGGTAACTCCAGTTCTGGGGATCCAGTGTCCTGGCTTCTGTAGGCTCCCTCACATACACAATACACCAACTCATAGAGGCTTGCACTTGCATGTGTGCACACACATACATACATACATACATACATACACACACACACACAGAGAGAGAGAGAGAGAGAGAGAGAGAGAGAGAGAGAGAGAGAGAGAGAGAGAGAGAGACTGAGACTAAAAATCTAGGCATCTGTTGCCAGATTTAGGGTAAAGATAAAGCAAAGCTCAGGCAAAGTTGAGTTTGGGTGAGTTGTGGGAAGCATTCCTCCTGGGCCAGGACTGGGGTGTGGGTTAGAATGTTCTAACTCTAGGCTGGGGTCTTATCTGTGTTTTAGGCCCTAGCCACTGCTTGCTGGTCTGTCCTAAAAGCCAAGAGGAGGCTCCTAATGGTAAGTTATTGGTGAAGCCCTTGGGGGGGGGGGGGCTATGCTGGGTCCTAAGTGGTCAGAATTCCCCTGACCAGTTGGATTGATCAGGGAAGAGATGGGTGCAGCAGAACATCCCACCCCCTTACACTGACCACCTATCTGGCCACTGTACCCCACTTGGCCAGGAGCCCCAGAGGGCATGTAGTTCCACCTTGTCTCCCCCTTCAGGAGCAGCCATCATATTCCAGGACTCAGCAATGAAGAAGGACAGACAGACAGGGTGGGAGGGAGGGATGGTGAGTACACATGAGTGACTAGTGGTTACAGAAGTCAGAGAGCAGGTGGTGCCTTCCTCCTGCCCAGTAGGCAAATGGTATCTGCACCCTGGATGGTGTAGCTGATTACTCCCCGTGCCTGCCGAGCTCTACTGCCCAGTCAGCACCAGCTGTTGTGGCCAGTGCTTTAGGTAGGCTTTGGCCCCTGTGGCTGCATGGGGCAGCTCTCAGCAACCTGCTAGCTTTTTCTGTAGAACTAAAAACCAGGGCTATACAAGCCCAACACTTGCCCAGGGTCAGCTAGCCATGACGTAAGTGGCTTTAGATGACCCAGATCTTCAATCCTGGCGTGGTGCTTATGCCATAGGTGCCCGATGGCTTCATCTCCCATTTCTACTCCGTATCGGAGCATGTCAGTCCTGTGCTGGCCTTTGGCTTCCTCGGACCCAAGCCCCAGCTTGCGGAAGTCTGTGCTTTCTTCAAGGTAGATGAACAACCCCTGCTTCCCTGCTCCTAATACAGGCACTCTCTCAGTGCCGCAAGAGGGGTGGGGGCTTGGGCTGCTCTCCATGAGGATATGGAAGGAGAACCAGGAAGGCAGGGCCTGAGAATGGGAGAGTGGGCTGTGCTTAGTCATTAAGAAAGGGGCTTTGTAGGATGTAGAAAACATCACAGGACCCAGACCCAACACCAGTCTCCTCCCCTAGCACCAGATTGTGCAGTACCTGAGGGACATGTTCGACCTGGACAACGTGCGCTATACATCAATACCAGCCCTAGCAGATGACATTCTACAGTTGTCCCGGCGCCGCAGCGAGATCCTGTTGGGCTACCTTGGGGCACCAGTGGCTAGTAGCACTGGGCTAAATGGGCCACTGCCTCGAGAGAATGGGCCCCTGGAAGAGCTGCAGTAATGGGACACAGGCTGGAGGGGAGGTGGCGGCTTGAGCCTCATTCACAAGGGTGACAGGAGAGAGAAGGCTGCCCCTCCCTTCCTTCGGGTTGGCGTCCAAGGGCCAGGTGGCCAAGGGCCATTGTCCCTGAGCCTGATACACCTCCTCATCTGGAAATCCCAACACCCAGAGGACAAATTTCCATGGAGAGGAATCACTAGGAGCCTATCCAGATGCCCTCAGGGTTGCCTTGGCAGCAGGGACAGGCCAGGGACAGTAAGGTGTGACAAAGGGAAGATGGTGAGAGAGGAAGGTGTTGTAGAGATATGGACCATAGAGCCCCAGTCTCCTCTGGGCTGCAGACAGACAGCAAGGAGGTGATCGGTGAGGGACAGGGCATGCGGGGCCATGTGGTGACAGTCACAGGGTCCTGGAATAGGAGCCAGCACCCAGGCTTTTGGCAGGTATGGAAAGCCCTATCTGGGCCATCCAGAGGTGAGCTCGCCCCACCTGTGCTCACATTTGAGCAAGGACTAGCCCTTCAGAAACCCAGACACCGACCAGGACCCTGTCCCCCACATTCCCACACCCTGCCAAAGACTCCGTTTTTTCATCCCACCTCTGCCACCACCAAAGATGGAGGCGGTGGGACTGGGCTCTTCTCACTCCCCCGTGAGCCTGGAACTTCCTGCGCAGTGCTGGGCTCCAGCTGAGGGCTCGAAGCAGAGCTCACAGAGGCCTATCACCTGTGTTGCTATCTGATGCTCTAGAAGTGAGGGCCTAGGAACCATGACAGGGAGGGCAGAGGATGCACAGCAGTGCCCCGCCCCCGCCCCCACACAAGAAGCTGGACTCGGCACTTTGCCTTCAGCTCCATGCACACACTTTGAGGCTGCATAGCAGCATAGAGCCACCTCAAGGCTGCTGCCACCCAGGGTCCTGTAAGCATTTGTCATGGCAGCTGCAGGGGTCCTGGCAGCCTGAGCTGGGAATTTTTTTATTTATTGCCTTAACACTTTATTTGGATGTTCTGCCCCTTCCAGGTTGTAAGACCTGCAGGAGGTGAGACTCCTGGTCTGGTCTGGAGTTGAGCACTGGCTCCTGGGACCCAGTCCCTCTGGAAGGGGCAAGGAGGATACAGTGAGGAGAGGGTGGTCACGGCTCTGGCTCCAGATCCTCCTCTCTGAGGCCTGTGTTTAGAAGGGAGGAACCCTCCGAGCTCAGTCTTGACATTCCATTCATTTGCACTTACCTTGAGCTGTGAATGTAACCCCGGGCCAAGGCCCACTCTGATTTGCCCTGATTCCCACAGCAGTAGCGTTTTCATCTTGTCCTTGTTTGTGTCCACGCATTGCCCTAGAGCACTCATCTGTCTCAGCTTCCAAGCCCCAATGTAAAATGTGTGCAGTGACTGTGAGTCAGATAAAGATGGAAACAGCCTCTTCCTGTGTCTTGCTGGGTGTAGGGGCTGTAGCAGGAGCAGAGGCTGGAGCGCCGCCCTTCAGTGCAATGGGTAGAGGTTCCAGGAGGAACAAGGTCAAGAGCGGCCTGATGGGAGCTGTGAACCCTCTTGGTGTCACGTGACAGACAGCATGACAAGTTCTGTATGTCCCTGGGACAGCGAGATGCAGATGTGAAGTGTGCGGCCAGCCCTCTGGTCCTCAGTTTCCCCATCTGTAAATTGTAGGCATTTCACCCAGCCAAGGCTTGAGAAGGGTGGGCCAGGTGGTCACAGCCCATCAGGTCTTCATGTGTCTTTATGGGAATCTGTCTAAGGACTTCTGTTGCTGTGATAAAACACCATGACCAAAAGCACCGTGGGGAGGAGAGGGATTAATTACTTCACTCATAGTCCCTTATGACTGTTCATCATTAAAAGCAGTGAGGGCGGGCTAGAAAGATGGCTCAGGAGTTGAGTGCTGCCTGCTGTTCCAGAAGTCCTGAGTTCAATTCCCAGCAACCACACAATGTCTCACAACCATCTGTAATGAGATCTGATGCCCTCTTTTGGCCTGCAGGGATACATGCAGACAGAACACTGTATACACCATAAATAAATAAATCTTAAAAAAAACAAAAAACAAACAAACAAAGAAAACACAGTGAGGGCAGGAACCTAGAGGCAGAAGCTGGTGCAGAGGCCATGGAGGGTGCTCATGGCTTTCTCAGCCTGCTTTTGTATAGAACCAAGTGCCACCAGCCCAGGGACGGCTCCACCCACAATGGGCTGGGCCCTCCCCATCAATCACTAAGAAAATGTCCTACAGGCTCACCTGCAGCCCCATTTTATGGAGGCATTTTCTCAATTGAGGGTCCCTCCCTGATGACTCTAGCTTGTGTCAAGTTGACAATAAAACAAACAAAAAAACAGCCAATACATAGCTGGGTGATGGTGGCACACATCTTTAATCCCAGGTAGAGCCAGGAGGATCTCTATGGGTTTGAGGCCAGAGTGAGTTCCAGGCCATCAAGGGCTACATAGTGAGACTCTGTCTCAAAACAAGTTTTTAAGGCCTAGGGACTGGGCATTGAGTAGACAGCTCGAATTGGTGAAGTGCTTGATGGTAAAAGGCAAACACTGTGTCAGCATAGTTCCAGCTGGAGTAGAGACAGGAGGGTCTTTAGGGCCTCGAAGGCCAGTCAATGTAGCTAAATCACAAATCTGGCGTCAGTGAGAGATCTTGCCTTAAAACATCAAGGGAGAGCAATCATGGAGGGCACTACTGACCTCTGGTCTCATATACACATCTGTACAACATGTGCATGGATATACACACACACAGAATTTTTCTTTTTTTCTTTAGACAGGGTCTCTCTATATAGCCCCGAATGTTTTGGTCCTTGCTATGTAGACCAGATTGGTCTTGAACCCACAGAGATCTGCCTGGCTCTGTGTCCTGAGTGCTGGGACTAAAGTCATGTGCCACTACATTCAGCTTTACAGGGTTTTTCTCAAGGACTGAAGGTGCATCTATGTGGAGAGCACTTAGCCAACATTCACAAAGCCCTGCATTCAGTCCCCAGCACCACACTACTCAAAACAAAGGACACTGCAAAACCAATGCCTTCAGCTGGGGGTTAGAATTCTGCCACATTTGTTTCCTCTCGATTGTATTCAGAGCGAGCTTCAGGCACCAATTTTTTTGTTTGTTGTTTTTTCGGGACAGGATTTCTCTGTGGCTTTGGAGGCTGTCCTGGCACTCGCTCTTGTAGACCAGGCTGATCTTGAACTCAAAGAGATCTGCCTGCCTCTGCCTCTGGAGTGCTGGGATTACAGGCATGTGCCACCAATGCCCGGCTATGGACATCTTTCATAAGCACTTGAGTGAGCAGACTTTAAGGCAGTGTTCCAGAGAGTGCAGCTGCATCACAGTCGCACCTAAAACAGCAGTTCTATCCTGTCGTGTCTGCACTGGAGCTCCTGCAGGGCTTGACTCTAGCCCTACTTGGAAGTGATGTGGGTATGGTGGCACAGCTGGTAATCCCGGGAAAGGAGAGATATTGGGCATAAAGATCAGAAGATCAAAGCCATCTGGCTACAGAGTTCAAGGCCAGCCTGAGCTTCAAGAGACCCTGTCTTGAAAAGGGACAGGTGAAGTGGTGCACACTTCACAGTCCTAGCACTCAGGCAGAGGTGAGGACCATCAGCCATCCAAGGCCACCTCTGGCTACGACATAATTCTAGGCTAGTCTGGCTCTACACAAGACTCTCTCAAAAAGCAGAAACAAAACAGGGCAGGGGATGTGGCTCAACTGGTAGAGTACTTGTCTGCATTCAGGAAGCCCCGGCTCGGTCTCTGTAGAACCACCTACCCTGGGTGTGGAGGCCAACACCTGTGGGGCCAGCACTGTGGGGGTGGAAACAGGAGGGTCAAAAGGACAAGACTGCCCTCAGTTCCATAGCAAGTTAGAGGCCAGATGGGGTCTCAAACAAACAAACAAACTCAAGTGGAAGGGTACATGCTTGAGCCCCCTTCAGCAACTTTAGAGGTGTAAGCCATGACATGTCACTCCAGTGCTGGGAAATAAGTGGGCTTTAAGCCTGGTGGTGGTGGTGCAGAGGCAGGCAGATCTCTGTGAGTCTGAGGCCAACCTGGTCTACAGAGCAAGTTCTTGGACAGGCTCCAAAGCTACCCAGAGAAACCTTGTCTCAAAAAAACAAAACCAAAAAAAACAACAGCAAAAAAGTGGGCTTCAAACAAGGCAAGTGGTTTATTTAAGCAGCCTCATTGAGGTGTACTTTGTATCCTATAAATGCATTTTCTTAAGGATTTCAGTAAGGATGCAGAGACATGTACCAGCTCCTATGATATACTTCTAGAACATTCCTATCATTCCATCACTTGTGCTCTCCAAGCTGCCAGAAGCTTCTCCACTCCTTGCTTTTTCTGGACCTTTCCTATGAATTGGTTCATGTTATGTGTGGTCTTTGAGTTGTGCTTATTCTGGTAGAATAATGTTTTGAGAGTAATTCATTTTGCAGCTGGGGATCCAATGCAGAGCTCATGTATGCAAAGCAAGTACTCTGCCAGTAGAGCTACACCCACTTCTTTGGTTTTGTTATTTTTTAGATTTATTTTTATTATTTTGAAGTGTGTGTGTGTGTGTGTGTGTGTGTGTGTGCTTGTGCAGGTGAGTTCAGGTGTCCACCAAAGCCAAAGGAGTCAGATTCCCCTAGAGCTGGAGTTACAGGCTATTGTGACCTGTTTGCTGTGGGAATCAAACTTGGAGCCTCTGAAAGAGCAGCGCATACCCTCAATCATGGAATACCTCTCCAGGCCCTGGTTTTGATTTTTTGAGACAGGGTCTTGCACTGTGTTGCAAACTGGCTTTGAACTCATTCCCCTTGGCTCCTATGCACCACCACCACACCCAGCTGGTGTCTTTAGCATTTGCCTTTAACTCTCATCTTCAGAACCTTGGGCTCTACAGCCCCCATGGGATGGTAGTTCTTTGAGGGCCAGGGCAGCACCCAAGTTTACTGCACTCTTTATCCTGAAGGGGTGGTTCAGGTTCTGTCATTGCCTGACCTCAGCCAGGCGATGGTGGCGCATGCCTTTAGTCCCAGCACTCTGGGAGGCAGAGGCAAACTGATCTCTGTGAGTTTGCAACCAGTCTCATCTACAAAAGCTAGTTCTAGGACAGCCTCCAAAGCCACAGAGAAACCCTGTCTTGAAAAAACAAAAAACAAACAAACAAAAAATGACCTCTAACCCAGAGGGCAGCCACCTCTCAGCAGTCAAGACCAGGGATGATATGCTTCCTCAGCTGTGGCTTTGTGTACCAATCAGTATGGTGGGGTACATGCTTAGAATCAAACTCCATGCCTCTAATTTCAAAGTCATCCTCCTGCTACTGTCTCCAAAGGAGTCAGTGATGACAGACAGACTAGCTCCTGTCCTGAGATCCTGTGGCTATAGTGATGCCCGGATCTGGGACTCCAGTTCCAGGGGAAATCTGATTCCTTCTTCTGACCTCCACAGGCATTGCATGCACACAGTATATAGACAAATTCAAGAGCTTTCTGTTTGAATATTGTAAATGGGATTAAGTAAAATCAACCACAGGTTAAGGAGGCAGATCAAACAACCAGTTGCCAGGAAAAAAAGAAAAACCATGGAGAATAAGAAGGAGTCAGGAAGATGGATAGAGAGACATTCAGTTTGAGGAATTTTGTTTGAGGGTTTTTGTTGTTGTTGTTTTGTTTTTGTTTTCCTTTTGGAGACAAGGTTTCTCTGTGTAGCTTTGGAGCCTATCCTGGCATTTCCTCTGTAGACCAGGCTGGCCTCCAACTCAAGAGATCCACCTGTCGTGACCCAGCTTGTCTCAGCTTTAACCCAGGACAGCCATGAGGTTCGACCTGAGTGGGGGTGTGTGGACCTGGAAGCTCCCAGCAACCCAACGGGGATAAAGATCAAACACAGGCATCTTGTCATCTTCAGAGAGCTCTCAGTTTCATGTTGTAGAACTAGAGGCATTTCTTTATTAGCCATCTTCTCTGGTGTTTCTTAACCGTCCGGCCAATACCATGAAGGAATCATCCTCTTTGTCCCTCTCTGCTCTGGCCGCTGGCCCCTTAACTCCTAACCTTCTGACTTCACAAGTTACTCATACCTCTCTCTCCTCCGCCCAGGTGAGGGCCTATTCAGATGCTTAGGCACATACAGATGCAAATAAGAGGCATATTACCCTGAGGCCATGTTAAACAATAGTAGCCCTACTGGTATTAACAATACAATGGTGAGGCCTGAGTTCCCAGCACCCACTGCAGTTTACAGCAGCTAGAGACTGGGACCCAAAATATTCCATAATAGAATTATTCGGTCCCCCACATCCACCTGCCTCTGCCTCCCGAGTGCTTAAAGGTGTGCGCCACCAACGCCCGGCCTAGATGGTTTTTGAGAAAGGCCCTCTTTCTGGGATGTTGATGGAGGAGAAAGAT